AGAAGGAGGAGGAGGAGGAGGCGGAGGAGGAGAAGGAGGAGGAGGAGGAGCAGGAAGGGGAGGGGGAGGAGGAGAGGAAGGAGGAGGAGGAGGAGGAGGAGGAGGAAAGGGAGGAAGGAGGAGGAGGAGGAAGAGGAAGAAGAATCCGCGCAACACCCTCAAACCTCGACAAACCTCGAACTTCGAAAAACCTAGAATATCGAACCTGTCCCTTCCTGACGTTGCCCCGTGGGAGGGCACCAGCTAGCTGCACCCACAGCGACCCTGGCCGGGCTCATCCTTGGCCCTGGATCGGTGCATGTGGTCTCCTGCCCCAGCCAGCAGGGCGTATACGCCGATCCTGGGCCCAGGATCCTGGGCCCAGGAGGAGGAGGAGGAGGAGGAGGAAGAGAGGAGGAGGAGCCAGGAGGAGGAACCAGGAGGAGGAACCAGGAGGAGGAGGAGGAGGAGGAGGAGGAGGAGGAGGGGAGGAGGAAGAGCCAGGAGGAGGAGGAGGAGGAGGAGGAGAAGGAGGAGGAGGAGAAGGAAGAGGAGAAGAAGGAGGAGGAGGAGGAGAAGGAAGAGGAGAAGAAGGAGGAGGAGGAGAAGGAAGAGGAGAAGAAGGAGGAGGGGAAGGAGGATCGGTGCAGGTGTACAGCTGCTGCCCTCCGACACTAGAGGGGCCGCGAGACGGCGGCGCCGCTGCTGCCCAGCGCGAGGGTGTCTGCGGCGGCGGACGTGGGGGCGGCGACCTCCGGACCCTGCCCCCCCTTAGGGGGGCAACTACTGGGAGGTGCTCGTCGGAGGGATTAAAAGGATTAAGCCCCATCTGGAGGGGGCTGTCACGCCGGAGTGGGCCTCGGATTAAGCAGGACTCAGCCGGATTAGGCGGGATTTAGCGCGATTCAGCGGGACTAAGCCGGATTAAGCCGGATTTCGGACCAGGGCAAAATCAGAATTGGACCTCCCAGGAGTGGCATCCGACCCCCCCCACCAACCATCGAGAGTACAGTCGGGGTTAACTGCACCAGGAGGAGGAGGAGGTTTGGGCGACACGCAGCAGCGACTTGGGCGATGATGTCCTCCTCCGTCTCCTCCTCCTCATCCTCCTCCTCCTCTTGTTATTAGTATTATTAGTGTTATTATGATTCGGCTTATTCGTAGTATTAATGTTCGTATTATTATTGATATTATGTTTAGTAGTGTTATTCTTCTTAGTCACAGTATTATTGTTATTATCATTATTATGCTTGTCATTAGTAATAGTAGTATCATTATTATGCGTATGCTTCTTATTTTTGATATAATTATTAGTCTCCTTATAATTAGCATTAGCATGCGTAGTCTTATTATGCGTCATATTCGTATTATTAATCGTCGTATTAGTATTAGTCTTAGTAGTCTTCAGATGTGTCTTATTAGTCTTAGTGTTCGTAATCTTTCTTATCAGTACTAGTATGATTCGTCTTCGTTTTCGTCTTCGTCTTATGAGTATGATTAGTGTTCTTATTATTCTTATTACTATTACTATTATTACTAGTATTATTATTACTACTATTATCATGATTATTCCCCCTCCTCCTCCTCCTCTTCCTCCTCCTCCTCCTCCTCTTCCTCCTCCTCCTCCTTCTCCTTTATCCCTCTCCTCTCCTCCGCCTCCTCCACCTCACGCCTCCCGCCGCCTCCTCCTCCTCCTCCTCCTTCTCCTCTCCTCCCTCCGCCTCCTCCCTTCTCCTCTGCTCCTCCTCCCCCATAGCCGCCTCCTCCGCCTCTCCGCCTCCTCCTCCTCCTCCCCTCCTCCTCCTCTCCTCTCCTCCTCCTCACTCCTCCTCCTCCTCCTCCTCCTCCTCCTCCTCCTCCCAGGAGGGGACACGCGAGAGGACACGAGTCACTTCCGAGGGCGGCCACATTGCCACAGGAATGCAAAAAGGCACGGGTCGCGAAGCTCAGGATACAAGGGCACCCTCGATTTGGCAGGGTCGACCTACTAGTCAGTCTCGAGCTGGGGGCATGGCTACTTACCTGCCAACCCACCCCGATCCCACCTGAAAGCCCGAATGTCAGGTGGGGAGGTGCGGGCTTCGTGCGCTTCTTGTCAAGGCTCCCCGACCCCCCCCCCACTGGAAATGGAGGGCAGATCGGGGCCTTCGAGTTGGGTTGGGGTGGGGTGGGCGGTGAGGGTAGGGTTCGGATTTCGCCACGTGCTCGACGAATTCCGAGCCCTACCCTCGGGAGACCAAGCGCCACCGACACCGCTGTAGTCCCTGGACCTCTCCCAGGGCGCGTTCTGACAAGGGTTTTCGAGGCGAACTCAGCGGTGGCGACGAGGGCCGCTCAGCAGGCCCCAAAAAGGGGAAAACGAGGGAAGGGTAGCCGTATGTCGGGGGCGCGCAAACATGGATCAGCCATCCATGGACTTGGCGCGCGGTCGCCAAATCCATGGATCGGGGGAGATGCCCTCCCCCAGATGCGGCCGGTGCCGCCTCGCTCGGCGGCAGAACTCCGCAAGCTCCCGTGGAAACGGGCCCCGTCGCTGATCCACGCCCCTGTTGATCCACGTTTGCGATCGCCTGAGTATGGGCACCTGTTCCTCCTCTGACTTTATGTTGCTCCCCTCGTACTCAAGGACCGCATCCCAGGAATAATTTCGAGCACACGGAAAAGACTCGAAAGAGTGTCGAAACAGTGTCGAACGAGTGTCTCCCAGGGCCCGACACGTGAAAACCCTCGAGTTTGGGTACTTTCTGGGAGCTCGAAATTCGTACTGGCGATCAAGGCTAAAGTAGGTGGAACATCATAAGCCCCGTCGCCAACCCACGCCCCCTTGATCCATGTTTACGATCGACTGAGTCTGGGTACCTCTTCCTCCTCTGACTACCCTTAGGCCGGGCATGTCCCCCTACAGGCGGGCTTTGGACGACAAATCAACAACAGTACCCCAGAAATGCCCAAAAACATCCCCAAACATACCCAAAAAGTCGTCCCTGGACCATTTCTGCACTATCTTTGAATCCTCCCCTTGGGCGCCCGAGTTATCCGGGGTAACTCGGGTCCGGGGTAACTCGGGTTTGGGTTCCCGAAAAAACGAACCCGAGTTATCCCTGACCCGAGTTACCCCTGATGATTCGGGGCTCTGACCCCCTGTTAGAGGGACAGGCCCAACTTAAGACGACCCCCGCGGCCCCTGGAGTTGCCCGCATCGTGGATCAGCGAGGGCAGGGGGGCCGGAGGTGGCCGCCGAGGAGCGGCGGCGCGCAGGGGGGGAGAAAGCGAGAAGGGGCAGGCAGGCCTTCCTCCTCCTCCTCCTCCTCCTCCTTCCCTCCCCCCCTCACTCCTCCTCCTCCTCCTCCTCCTCCTCCTCCTCCTCCTCCGCCTCCTCCTCCTCCTCCTCTCCTCCTCCTCCCCTCCTCCTCCTCCTCCGCCTCCTCACTCCTCCTCGCCTCCGCCTCCCTCCTCCTCCTCCTCCCTCCTCTCTCCTCCTCCGCCTCCTCCTCCGCCTCCTCCTCCGCCTCCTCCTCCTCCGCCTCCTCCGCCTCCTCCTCCTCCGCCTCCTCCTCCTGGTCCTCCTCCCAGAGGGCTCGGAAGTCCCCCCAGCCTTCTGAGAAGTTTTCCGAGCCTTCCCTCGGGGGGGCGTCAAGGTGGGGAGCAGTGGGGGCCCGACCACCAGAAGCCTTCCCCAGGGAACCCAGCCCCAAGAGCCCAGGACGTCCATGGGTTGTTGGCGTGGGAACGGCACGATCTCCATAGCAAGGCCGTCGAAGCCCACGAAACTCGGGGCACCCTGGAGGCAGGCACGGTGTTTCTTGGCATTGGTCTCCACTGTTGGGGCAGAGGTGGGGTCAGAGGAAAATCGCTTTCGAAACGGCCCGTGAAGGCAAGGGAAATGTGAGGATCCAGCTGGGTGCGGTCCCTAACCCCACCTTGAGATAGACCCCCCTCAGAACCCTCGCTTCCCCGAAGACACAGCATGCTTCCCAGAAGGCCAGAGAGGCCCCCTGGGAGGGCCAGACGCCTTCTGAGAAGCCCCGCCGCCTTCCGTTGGCGGCGCGCAGAGGGGGGGTATACAGGGAGGGGGGAAGGCTTCTTAGAAGCACCCCTGTTTGAAACAGGGGTGCTTCTAAGAAACAGGGAAGGCTTCTAAGAAACAGTTTCTCAGAAGGCGCGCGGGCCCTCGTCTGTAGATGTGAGGCCAGGCGCGCTTCTGAGAAGCAGCCTCCCTCTAAGAGAAGCCTTCCCCCCTCTACCTACCAAGAGAAGCCTCCCCTCTAAGAGAAGCCTCCCTCTAAGAGAAGCCTTCTAAGAGAAGCCTTCCCTCTAAGAGAAGCCTTCCCCCTGACTACCCACCAGACCACCCCAACCCATCCAGAAGACCCGAACTTCGGATTGGAGGGGGGACGAGCATCATACATGTTGTTTCAGTGTTCCCCGACCTTCCCCCCCCTCCGGAATTGGAGGGCAAATCTCGGGGCCTTCGGGCTGGGTTGGGGTGGTCGGGTGGGCGGTGACCCCCCCCTGCGCGCCGCCGGCTCGGAGAGGGCCGATTTTGGACGAACAATACAGCATACCAAAAACGGATGCTCAAGCATAGTCAAAACATGATCGAAGAATCGTCCCAGGGCTATGATTTTGGTCGGCAATGTTTCCCTGCATTCCTCCTGTGGAGGGACAGGCCCGACTTCAGCCTCCTCCTTCTCGCGCGCCGCCCGCCCGCGCTCGCCGCCGCCGAGGGCAGCGCCCCTCGGCGCGCCGCTGCCGCCGCCGGACGGGCCCCCCCCGCGCCGCAGGGCCGCGCCGCCGGCGGGCCGCGAGGGGGGGGGGGCGGGGCGCGGGCGGCTCTCTCAGGCCGCGGCGCCTGCGTGCGCTGCAAGAGGGGGGAATGGGGGCCGAGGGGGGGGGGGGGGGGTGCCGGCTTGTGCGGGGAGAGGGGGGGGGCGGGCGGGGGGGAAAGAGGGCCAGAGTGGTGGAGGCAGGGGGAGGGGCAGGGGGGGGGGAGGGGCGGGAGGAGGCTTTGGGCGGGGGGA